TTCTGAAATCACATAATTGCGGGCCATTGCGGGTCCAGCATTTTGAGCTGCGTAATTAAGAAAATAAACCCCATGTAAGCCCCACATGCAGCCCCCTCTTGCCGCCCCCCTTGGCACCCCCTAAGATTCAAATGAATGCGACGTTTACTTTTAATTTGAGCCCCAGTCCCAGCCCCAGCCCCAGCCCCAGCCCCAGCCATAGACTTCCTTTAGATGATGGTCAAAATGGAATGCCGCGTCAACAGAAAGTGAAAAGCCATATCCCCGTCTCCTTTCGGCGGGGGCTGGGGCACGCTTTTGAAGTTCCGTTTCGAATGGTTTCGTCTGCTGCTCATTTAGGCGCAATGTCCACAAAGGACAGCCCCCGTTGGGGCCCTGGGATTAATTCTGAATTATGAGCGTTTTTGAATTCCATTCAAATGTTGCGGCAATGTTTCTGCGGCAATAATTGAAAAGAGCTTCTCTCTTTTGAGCCCGCAGCTTAATGAGCTCTGGAGTTATCCTTGGGCCGGGCTTGGGTTGCCCCCCCCCCCCCCCCCCCCCCCCCCCCCCCCGACCCCACCCCACAGCTGATTAGGCGGGAGGCAGCTCCAAGATGCAAATCCAGGCAGAAGCCGCCTGATGGAAGGCCAAAGAGGGATTCAAAATCGATTCCCCTCGCGGCGGACGGGCGGACGGGGGCAACCCTTTTTCTTTGCCAGTTCTGTGTCAACCCTCGAGCCAAGTGGCCGCCGCTGGGGCAATGAAGAAGGGGCAGCAGTTGACCAATTATATAAACCACTTGCACACACACACACACACACACACACACACACACACACACACACACACTCGCAATGGCAGGGGGGGGGGGGGGGCACCCTCGAAGAGCGAGAAGAAGCGAAAACACGTCAATGCGATAATTATTAATAATTATCCACTCGTCCTTCTTCTTTGGCTTCTCTTTCGCGTTTGTGGAACTGCCGCTCCTTCGAGGCCACTTCCCCCCTCCCCCTCCCCCACCCCCCTTTGTGTGGCATTGCAACAAAGGCACGCCCCCTGCCCCCGGCTCCTGCCGTGCCCTGCCCTGCCCTGCTAATGGACGGGCAAAACTAAATTATGGCCAAAATGGTGTTGGCTTTCTGGCTGGCTGCCACTTATGTGCCACTCACACACACACACACGCACACGCACGGACTTGCCACAGCTATTCCCCATTTTGGAGTCCGGGGCACAGGGCGTGTGCATGAAACATGTAATTATGAAATTAACGATTTCCAAGTGGCTCAAAGCGACGTCGCGCCATCGCCACCGCCATCGCCCGACCATCCGACTATTGGGAGCGTGTCTGCCAGGACAAGGAGCCCTGGAGGGATCGGGAATGCACGTGCATCAGTCGATGGCTGGATTATGTGCTGGGCCTTCCATTCCACAGGGAGTCCAGGAGGGCTTAGGCCACAGGAAATGCCGCACTGCCGAGAGTTTTTCTTCTGATGCCCCTCCGTCGGGCCAGATCCCCCCAAGGCTCTCCCAACTCCTCCACCCTCCACCCTCCACCCTCCACTTAGTCGCAAAGAAGTCACGTGGAGCGTGAAGCGAAGCTCAATTGCGGTCGTTGTTTGTCATTAGTTAAATGGCAGGACTCGGCGGCTAATGCCGGCAGGACAATGGCGGTCTCTCTCGCTCTCCCTGTTCCTCTGGCTAAGCAACAACAATGGCCGAGCCGAGAACCTGGCTAATATGCAGCCAGAGGCCAGAGACAATGGCAAAAATGCAAGGCCCCCCCCCAGGGGATTGCCTCCAAAGTGAGCAAAAACAAAACGAAAAGAAGCAATCGAAGAGCCGCCAGATGTTCCTCCTCCTCCTGGCGCTGGAGCGGCCACCGCAGCCCCATTCGCAGCTCCCTCGAAAGGATGGTTAATTAGTTGGCCGCAGATTCGACTGGATCGAAAGGCTTTTAGCCTAATGAGCAGCAGGGAGGCGGCCAGCAAGGACCCATGCGGATCAAAGGATCAATCAAGCAATAACAAATCGAAACGAAATCCCAATTTGCATGCAACGAAAAGGGGTCCCAGGCAGGGACTCCGACTCCCGGCCAAGTGGGAAATGCATCTCAAATCCAAATGCATCTCGAGTGGCCGTCGAACATCAAACAAAAAGGCAGCGCTGCGAGAGAGGGCTTTTAGCCCATGAAGTGGACGCCTTCCATATGGAAGGAATATGGAATCCAAATAGTCGCCCACTCGCCCACTCACGGGCCCTGCCACCGGCAGTGGCAGTGGCAGTGGCAGTCACAGTGGCAGTGGCAGTCGCAGTGGCAGTGGCACGCCTCCATTTGTGTGTGATTTATGCGACGTCTCTTTGAGGATGAAGTGCAGATTACATTATAAATATGAAATAATGCGACGGCCCTTGAGGACAATGCGAAACGGAAACTCCTTTTATCGAACCACAGCCGAAGGGGGCAGGCAGGGCAGGGCAGGGGCAGTGACAGTGTCCCAAGGAAGGCAGTCCATGAAGGAACCAATTAGAACCCATCGGATCCCTCCAGATTCGAAGGAAATCCAAGAAAAGGCCAAGAAATATCACAAGCCTGCTGGATAACCCATCAATAGATAGTCAACCAATTTTGGAGGCCTTTTTTCGAGTCAAAAATGGTGGAAATTGCATCGATAGGGTTTCATACGATCCCTGGTCCCCCACGAATAGAAGACCGTGTGATCCTCCTCTCTACGCAGCGGAATTGTCCTAGAAGGACCCCGATAGGACGGTGCATTTTGGGGCTTGTGTGCGGGAGGGAAAGTGCCTCCAAACAGAAGGAGAACGCCCCAGGCCCTTGAGGAGAAGGTGTTCTGTAGGTAAGCCGTTCTCCTAGATCCCTAGAAGCCCCTACGATCCCCATATAGTCCCCATATATCGGACAAATAAGACTCTGTGGCAGATGGAGGACTCGCAGAAATATGGGAGGGACTTTCCTTTGCAATCCCCTAAGTAAGCCACTAGCAGATCCTCAAATAGAAGACGCCTCTATGGCCACTGGCCATCGTTTTGTCTCCAGATCTAGGGCCATCTCCACCTGCAGGGAAACACCTCTTACATATGGATGACCCTTCCTGCTGGAGCACATATTTACATTTTATGCAAATATTTTAGGAGCTGTAGAAAGTTTTCGGAATATTTGTGCTTTGCTTTCTTTCATCGAGTCCAACGACTGGCCGGTGGGAATGCATTCTGCCACATGTGTGCCCCGTGATTGTGTCTCCCTCCCCGCCCCCAAGGCAGGTCCTTTTGTCAATTAGATTTATTTCATCTGCGACTGCGGCGTGCACGGGGCGTGGGGGCGTGGGGGCGTGAGGGGGGGGACACTTGAGACTGGCTGAGGAGTACAAAGCGGGGAAAATAAGTCATGGATGGATGGAAATCATTGAGAATTTTCAGTTTTAATGTGTTCCCTGTGGAGTGGGTAGAGGGGGGAGGGGGGCTGGGGAGAGGGGAGCAAGATGAAAGCAAAGTGCTAGAGATCCATCAGTAAGGGTTTAATAGGGAAGCATATATCTAAATCTATAGTAATATGGGTAGATTCCAGTGTTATTCGGGGGAAGACCCGATTCCCAACGAAATTTCTGTGAAATTGATGGACAGTGAACCCAAGTCCTGGGCATCGAGGCTCCACTGTAGTTGCGTCTGTAGTTCTGGAGACAAGTGTGCTAATTGAAATGGCATATTGATTATGCAATTGTTATGCAATGCGACTAATTAATGTGTGTGCGAGTGCCGTCAGCCGGGAGAGACGGAGAGGCGGCTAATCGATGGGCGAGAGAGAGAGACAGAGAGAGAGAGAGAGAGAGAGCGCAAAGGAAAAGCTTAATTAACATGACCAACTTTGGCCCGAACAATGCCTGCAATTTGTGGACGGATGGACGGATGGACGGACGGACGGACGGAACGTTTAGGAGCGAGAGGACCTCTCGCCGCCTCCCCTGGATCCTTCCAGGAGAGTGCCGAAAGAGAATTTCCATAAAATTCCAATTCCGAATTCCAATCGAAAGTTCAGTTGAAGCTTTGCTGCCACTTGGAGAAGTCTTTGAATTAAAGTTCCCACCCTCCCCTTCCCCAAGAAACGCATGGAAATTAGTTCTTGGAGGGCAGTCCTTGCTCGCCGTTTCCCTCTATCGGCAAACAGTATGTGTTGACGTTTGCCTTGGCAATGCAACCGATGAAATGTCATAGTTTTGGGCCATTATTGAGCACAAAAAGCCAAGCCAAGGAGCCAAGGAGCAGAGCAAGCACGTAAGACCCATCTGCCGCACACACACACACACACACACACACACACACAGGGACAGAGCGGAGGACACAGGGTAGCCCAGCGGCCAGCCAAATTGGCGGCGGGCGCAAAACAAACTGAAACCGAAACGCCGTCGAGAAAGCACGCAGGGCAGTCGCCGCATAATTGCCGCACACGTACGGGAGGGGCGCACACGGACAGTGTCGGTGAGCGGTCTTCCAGGGGCGAGCGAGAGGGCCAGAGCGGGGCGCGGCGAGTGCGAGCGGGACGGCTGGGCTGGAAGTCGAGCGCTTGCCCCTGCCAGTGGAAGGGCCGTGAGTGCGCGAGGGATGGCAAGCGGTCGACAGTGGTGCCATCCCGTTCGCTCGCAAAGATGGCGTAGCAGCAGCAGCAGCAGCAGCAGCAGCAGCGCAGCGCAGTGCAGAAGCAGCGCCACAGTCGACAGTTGAAGCTGCGCCGAGGTGTCGTCGTCGCGCGCGGCAGCGAGCGAGCCACCACCGAGCGACGGCAAACGAGAAACGAGAAACGACAAACGGATCGGAAATCCCACTCCATGCGTTGGCGTTGGCGTCGCAGCCGGCGCGGGCAGTGACAGCGGCAGAGAGACAGCGACGACGCTTTTGCTCGCGTGCAGCGCCCGCTATGGTTTCAGTTCGTTTTCGCACGCTGTTCGCAACGAACGGCTCATCTCTCACACACACAAACAGCAGGCGACCAGCTTCAGCAGCAAAGAGCCAAAGAGACACACAGGCAGTCGTTTACCGTTAACAGTTAACCGTTGCTCTAGCCCGAACCGAATCGAATCGAATCGAATCGAAAGCCAAAGCCAAAGAGTGAAACAGTTACCATTCGATATCCCGATATCTCGATATCTCGATATCTCGTGCGTGTTTTTTTCTCATCAAATGTCCGAGTGTTCCGATCGCACGGAAATTGTTTTTTATTGTGTCCCCCAGCTGTAACTCTAACTGTGCCGGCCATGACCGTTCCACGAGTGCTATAAGAAGACCCTCCTGCTCTGCCCCTCTCCTCCCACGAACAGTTGCCGCAAGAGCGCGTCCGCCCGGAGAGACAAAGCGAAAAGCCGTCGGCACAATGCAGGCCACCAAAATGCGCACCCCCTTTGCCATCCAGGAGATCCTCGGCCTGGGCGTCGGGGCCGCCGCCTACCAGCAGCAGCAGCAACAACAACAACAACAACAGCAGCAGCAGCATCAGCAGGTGGCCGCCGCTGCAGCCACGCCCAGCTCCACGGAGGCGCCACTATCGCCGGCCGCCACTCCACCGCCCCGCAATGCCAACACGCCAGCCAGCGCGGCCTCAGGCGCCTCCGGACTGCAGCAGCAGCAGCAGCAGCTGCAACAGCAACAACTGCAACAGCAGCAACAGCAGCAGCAGATCTCCCAGGAGGCGGCCGTGCGGGACTCGCGCTCCCTCTCGCCCTGCCCGGACGTGACACGACTATCGGCAGCCGCGGCCGCCGCAGCCGCTGCCGCCGCCCACTGCCAGCTGCCCGTCTTCAATCCGGCCAACTTCTACGCGGCCGCCGGCTATGCGGCCGCCGCGGACCCCTCGAACGCGGCGGCGGCCCACCACCACCACATGACCACCCTGGCGGCGGCGGCCTATCTGCGCGGCTTCCTGCCGCCCGGCTTCAGCACGCCGCACGAGTTCCGGGGCCACTTCCAGCAGCACTTTGGAGCCCAGTTCGCAGGTGAGTGAGTCCGCCGGAGATCTGTTGCACGGCTAATTACGGCGCCTGCCTTTGAACCGAGTGCAGCCAAGTGGCAGACCGTCCGGAGGTCGCGTAGGCCCGCTCTCTAATAAGCTCAAGGCGTGAAAAGGGGGTTGGCAGGCAGGGCAGCCAGGGCAGGGCATTGAAACAAAGGGAACAACGGTAAATTAAGCACTAAGCACGAGTGGCAACGCTCAACAAAGCTTATTAATAACTCACACAGAGAGAGAGAGAGAGAGAGACAGAGAGGGAGAGGGAGAGGGAGAGCGTAAACGAGGGGCAGGGGATGTCAGCAAAGTGTGAAATCTCGCACACACTTCATTCCATGCCCCCCCTTTGCACCGTATTCGTATTCGTATTCCCATCCGCGTGAGTGTATCCCTAATTAAGCGCATAATTTCCATTCAAATTAGCGACGAGCACTCCTCCACTTCGGGACAGGGGACAGGGACAGGGGACAGGGGATCATCACTCCTTGAAATGCGATAGCCCTGGGCCAGTCGGGCCTCCTTTCAGGGTCCTTCCGAGATCGTTCTTGGAGTCTTCCATTTGTATATCCTTTCCTCAACATCTTCGGAATCGTACAACCCATGGGGCTATCCCGAAAAGCTCTTGTTTCCTGAGAGTCTTTTGTTCTCTCTTCTGATTGGATCGTTCCAATGGGATTCCACTCTGATTACCATCTATTCCTGCCGAATCCCTTAGAGTTCTGTATGCTTTTGAGGCCACTCTTCCATTGGGTCGTATCTTGGGTCTGGGATCAGATCTTTCTTGATCTATTGATCTATATCTACTTTGATGCAGATCTGGTTTGCTTTCCCACCCCCCTCTTGGCCGCGTCATGGGGCAGATGGCCACGCCCCTGGCTAGAATCTTCATCGCCATCCCTCTCTGGCCTTCGGGGCAGTGGGCCGTGCGCTCGTGTTTGTCTAGCCATCCCACTCTCACAGCCTCAAAGGTGCGAAGAACGAGACACCAGATACAAATGTATCTGAGAGTTACACGCACTTAATTTGTTAAATTTTCACACTCCACATCTGTTTATTTGCCGTTCCGTTGTGTGGTTTCCGTGCCCGCTTTCACTGTTGACCTTTCCGGGAGCTGTTTTTCCAGCCACTTCTGCATTTTCACCGTCTTCACCGTCTTCTTTATCATCTGCTGGCCCTTACTCCTGTCCCGTCCTCTCCTGTCCTGTTCTTATTCTTATTCTTCCTCCAGTTCTTGTTAGTCATGCCCAAGCCCATGGCAGGGTCCGTCCGTGTCAGCGTCCGTGTACGTCTCCGTGTCCGTGTCCGTGTCCGCTCGCACATTGTTTGCACAACAACAGTTGGAGGGCCTCGGGGCCCCTTTTGGCCTGGTTGAGCTGTAAAGAAGGCAACAGACGGACGACGACCAAGTCCTTTTCAGCTTTCTTCTGCCCAGGAGCAGGACACAGGACACAGGACACGGGGCGTTAGTTTTCGAGGCAAATTGTGTACAAAATAAATCGACTCGAGTGGTTAACCGCAGAGGCAGTGGCAGTGGCAGTGCCAGTGGCAGCATCCTTTCAATTTCTTTTCTATTCCTTTTTGTTGTTGGCTCCGGGAAAATTGCTACTTTGCCAGGATGCTCCAGTGCTGTGCACGTTGTTATCCTTAATTTGAGTGGCCATCGAGGAGGCCATCCAGGCTGCTGCCTCCTCTTCTTCTAATAAATATTTACCCGAAAGTCGTGCAAGTGCGCAGATCCTTTGGGATCGCTGCCAGCTCGCGTATCGCTGTCTGGCTGCTCTTTTGTTGCTCTTTGTGTCCACATGTCTCTCACACACACTCAGGTCTCCCGCCCCACTCTCGTCCCTGAGGCACGGACCTTTCACAAATTGGGGGCTGGCTTTGGGCGCTGGCAGAGCCCGGTGCCTGATAAATCGGATAATTGCCGGGAAGCCTCCGATCTGCCACACGCGTGTCCTCTGACTCAAAATCAAATCAAAACTGCAAAAAATACTGAAAATGAAAACGGAAACCTCTAAAAAGTGCAGCAGCAGCAGCAGCAGCATCGATAGGGATCTCTGGAGGGGCCCTACTTCCGAAACATTTCCTGCCAGGGGTAAGAGGTAACTCGATAGTTTTTCGCACATTTTCCCAAAAACCGACAATGAAAGGAACCCAAAAACCCGGCCGACAAATTGCTGTATCAAGTGTTAATTATGTGACAATGAGTAGGCCGAAAGAGCGGAAAAGAACAGCCCAAAACACGATCACGAGGGGGCGACGGAGGACGGAGGGCCATCGGGCAGTGGCAGGGGGGGGCCCATTATTTTCTTAATAATTTTTTAATTGGAAAAACCTCCGAAAGGCAAACACAGCCAAAACAAAACGAAACGAAACGAAACGAAAACAAATACAGAAGTAGATAATTTTCCCAACAACAAAAAATAGATATATTTCCAACGAAGTGGCATGCAACCGGCCTGTGGGAGAGGCAGAGATGGGGTCTGGATAAACAGCAGGCGAGGAAGAGGTAACCAAGCCACAGAAATTGATGACAACAAGTGGCAGCGGGCATTGAAAGGAGCTCCGAGACTTTTACCAGCTGCCCTGCCCCTGTCCCTGCCCCTGTCCCTGCCCCTTGGCCGGGCTGCATGATCATCCACAAATGCAACAGCCACTTCAGACGTCCGCAGACTGCCACAGACTGCCGCAGACTGCAGGTTGCACTCGCAACGCTCGTCATTTTCTAGGAAGCACTCGAGTGCGCGGCGTGTAAACAACTTGCACAGATTTTCCAGCCTCTCTCGACCAGCCTGGTGCCCCCCCCTGGCCCCATTAAGTGGCTTTGTTCGGCCGTTAATGCGGCTCGAGCTGCTCCTCGAGCTGGAGGCCCCATCTTGAGCAGTTTCTGCATGATTTGGCAGTCGAGCCGCTGGGAAAGTGCATCGGACCTGCGTAAGGAGGCTGCGAATGCCCCGAAAACGGATTCATTAGAACAGGGAGTAGCCCCTACGAGTGGCCCCATCAATGCCGCAATGCCAATCGGTTGTGGCGCTGCGGAAATGCTGCGAATTTCCATTTCATTTCATTTCCCGCAAAGCAATTACCCGGACAGCGAATTTTGCCACTCAAAAATGGCATTAATCGAATCAGAGATGCAGAGTAGAGCCGGTCCCCCCCCCCCCCCTGCCACCCCTGTCCCCCGGGCACTCACATGGCGGACTGCGTGCCCAAATTGAATATTAAACGTGTTAATCCATTTTATGGCCAGGCAAAGAACCCGAAAGTTAGAGCCCACACGGCCCCGCCCACCCCGCCTGGAAGGGAGTCCTGTTTTGCCGATCTTAACGCTTAACCCCCCCCTCCCCCCCTGCCCCTGCCCCCCTACCAGGGCCCTGCCTTGTGGGTAAAAGGCGTTTGACTTTTTATTAATTTCCCTGTTGACAGCAATTTGCAACGCTACACGAATTTGTTACCACCAGAAAACACCCAAAACACACACACGGAGAGCCCCCCCCCCCCCCCACACTCCCGCCCACCAGGATGTGGCAAGTGGGAGGAGTGGGTGTTGAACGTGCCACGAGTGTGTCGGTGTGTCGGTGTGAGTGTAACGAAACGGCCGGAAAAACGAAAACTTCCGCATGTGTTGATGGGTTAATAAATATTTGAGCGCACACAACACAACACTACATGTCCCTCTCTCTCTCTCGCTCTCTCTCTCTGTCTGTGTGTGTGTGTGCTTTTATATTTACCGCTATTTCCGCACAGCATTTACAGTGTTGTAAAACGTTGCTGGCAACCGAAATGGACAGACCACAAAAGGGTTGTAGGTTGCAGCCGTTTTCTGGTTACGAGTTAGTTGCCCATTTAAATGGAACAGCATTGCCGTCCATTCCGTCCGTTCCGTCCTTACGGGCCATTCCGTCCGGTCCATTCGAGATGCGCCCAGGCACGGGTGGGGGTGGGGGGGGGTGTGCTTTTAGGGGGCAGTGCCGTTTTATGGCCCAATGAATTTTACAAAAGTAAAACATACCATTTCGCTTGGTTTCTGATTCGTTCTGTGTGTGTGTGTGTGTGTGTGTGTGCTCGGGGGCATGTTATCGATAATTCAGTGGACGGGGCAGGGGCAGGGGCAGGCACAGGACGAAGGAGCCACCGTTATTGATGGCCAGTAGATAGTCCAGGAGTCCAGGGCAAAAGATAGACAATAAACTGGCTGAAAAATCATCATCAAATTTAATCGAAGCCAAAGCGATAACAAGTCGATAGCACATGCCTTGCAAATAGATACAGATACAGAGCCTGAATCTCATAAGCTAATAGCCACCTGGCCCACAGACGCCGCCGGGCAACTACAAAACGCAATTGAACGCGAAATGATGTCTAATTATAGAGCAGCAAAAGCAGCACCTCTCACTCGAAGAGACGCCAGGGAGAGGGCGAGAGAGAGAGCTCTCTGTACGGACTAACTACCCAATTATTTCATTTAAGCTTCACTGCACTCTCTCTCGCTCTGCCCCTCCCCCACCCCGTGCATAAATGGTTGAATGGCTCGAGGAAACGTCGTCGTCTAACAACGAAAATAACAAAAAGGAAAAGAGATGCCAACAAACAAAGAAACAAGAGGAAAAAGAAAGGAAATTCTGGCATCGATAGCCGACGCATTTGATGCCGCACTTGGGGTCCCATCGGATCCGAATCAGGGCCAACGTCTGGCCAAAATCGTCATACCCTCTTCCGAAGGGGAACGGGAAATCGGCTTCAAAATGGGAATGGAAATAGTCGTGGCACAAGCACTGCCAGGGCCAAGTGGTGGAGTGGGGCGAATAAGCCGGCGAATCAATGGCCTGCCGCCCTGCCACAGCCCCCTCCAGCATCGCCCGCCTTCGGGTACAGTCGCCAAGGCCTGGCTGTGGCTTTGGGAAGGATCGGGGCTGGCGATCCATCCCGCAAGGCCCCTGAAGACTGTGCACTTGTACTCATGGCATCCACTGTACCCCCGAAAAGCTGTCTATCTGTCCCGCTCACACAGAGGTGGGGGCGTGCCGCCATTTTGGAAAAACAACGGGACTGCTCTCCGCCTTTTCGTATTTATTTCCAAAGGGGGAAGGGGGGTGGGAGCAACAAAGGGAAATGCGAGCGCAAATCGAGTTAACGAGCTAACTGCGGGGCGTCCAACCCCTCCCCCCACCCCGCAGGCACTCAGCACCACCCTGCACAGGCAAACACAACCCAGCCACCACCCACCCGCCACCCACCCACAATTTGGGAGACATATCCCGTAAAGCCACCCCCAAACGCCAGAATGAAAAGGTTCTGTGGATTGTACAACAACTAACAACTTAACCACCACCCACCCAGCCCCCACCCAGCCACCCACTCAGGCCGCCCGCCGCCCGCCGCTTGCCTCTTGCCATTTTTCTTTGCCACTTTGCTTCTTCAACTTATTTACGTCTCCATTACAAATAATTGCGCGTCATATTGGCTCCCACCCGCGCCAGACACAAGCCACCCCCCGCACACCCCCCCGCCCTCCACCCCACCCCACCCGCACCATCGTGTGGCCCCATTTTGCCTAGACAACCCTCCCTTCCCCCCCGTTCCCACCACCCACCACCCACCACCCAGCACCGTGCTAGCGTAAGTAGTAAATACGCTCGAGTATTATTAACGTAAATGCAAAATTGCCAATTTCGAGTGTATTTCCTGTCAACAGAAATTTCCTTCACTCTCGAGGCCGCCCCTCAAGGTATTCCAGCAGAAATAAAATTAAGAGGAAAAAGAGAGAGGCAGAGAGAGGGAGAGCCTCCATCGTGGTGGCTGGTGGCACCCTGGAGGCCCATCTCTACGCAGTGCTAGGCAGAATCCCCCCCTCCAGGACACACAGAGAGAGAGTGAGAGAGCTCCCTGCCAAGTGGTTGGTGGTGGGCTTGGCTTTTATTAATATGTCTGGCAATTTCAATTTGAGTTTATTGGTAATTTTACATTTCGTCTGTGGATGGTGCGGGAGGGGGAGGGGGAGGGGGAGGGGGAGTGAACAACTATCGAAAAGTATCGATAGGCCGAATGCCGCCATTCGATCGAAATATTGCTTAATTGAACAATTAAGCAAAGGACAAAGGCAGGACCTGGACAAAGGCACGTATTTATTACCACTTGAGAGCCAGGAGCAGGGCGGAAAACATATCAAATTAATTTAGGCGGAAAACAGGCGAGGAAAATGGATGAAAATGGATATGGAAAAGGGCAGAAAAGGAGCCTGCTGCTGCCGGCCACAAGATATCGCATGACACCGCACTGACCCAGAGGCAGACCTCCTCCATGCCGCAAATCAAATTAGTTGAGACGACATCGATAGCCGCCCAAAGTGGCTGACCATTCGCTGGCATCTACAGAAAGTACACACACACACACACACACACCCAATACCCAGTTTATTGTTCATCATTGTGGCTATTTATAAGTGCGCTGTGCCGGGGCTGGTGCCTTTAAAGCACTTCTGCCGGGGGCCCTGGGCTGGACATTGGTCTGCTGTCGCTGCCCCCCCCCCTCGGGCTCCCCAGCTAATTGTTAATTGATGTGTGTCTAATTGTGCCGCCAAAGTGGCCAGGCAATAACAGACAGACTATGAAAGGCTCTCTCCCTCTCTGGTGGCTAGGAGCAGGTCTGCTCGTTGTTTGTTGCCTAATTCAATGGAAAGTTGAACAGTTTTGCGGGCCCAAACTGTAGACGAAGTGGAGATCTTTGCAGATTCCATCCAATGCCCGTGTCCGACTCTCTGCAGCCCCTCTCCAGCGCTAAGGGATCGAAGGTACCTCCTCCTCCCCTCCTCGAACAAGATAATTTGGTCAGCCCGATAAGTGTGTGGCCGGAAACCGATGTGGGCCCTCGAGAGAAAAGCGAGACGCGCACAATCGTCGATCGGGGGCATCACAATAGAACGCCCCTTGCGACACGCCTAAGCCGATTCCCGTTTAATTTGAGACGGCAAGACGGGGGTAGGAAAGGGCTAAACCACTTAACACCCTAACACCCTAATTGTCAAAACAAAGCCGCAGCCGAAGCCGAAGCCGAGGAGACCTCCTTTCGCCTCCGTCTTTGCGTTTTCCTTTCCTGCCTGCCAAAAAAGAAAATATTTCCATTTCTGGGAATGCCACAGAGGGAAAGGAGGAGGAGGAGGACATGCGCTTAACCCTTCGCTGCCTGACATTTGAATACAAATCCAGGCAACTTGTCAAAATCCGCACGAATCGGGTGCTAGAGGAGTCGGGGGGCAGGGGCATGCAACTATTTTCAGCTGCCGCCCGCCACGGCGTTATCGTGTGCGAAAAATCACTGAATCACGGGGAACGGGGAACGGGGAACGAGGACTCGGCTCGAATGTCTCTTGGGTCCTGCGGCATTTCCATTGTCCTCCGCTCAAAGGGAAAAGGGAAAAGGGAAATGGGAAAATGGAAAATGGAAATGGGTTCTGTGGCAGCGAGACATGCCTCAACATCGACATCCACGACATGTGTAGAGCAAGCGCCTGGAATGCCACTCAACTAATCCCCCCCTCTCTCTGCCACCATCTCTTTGCAGAACAAGCGGCCGCACGTGGTCAGGAGTACGCCAGCAGCCTGGCCAACGCCAGTGGCGATGAGCAGTCGCCCAGCAAGGCCGGCGGCAGTGCAGGCTCGGGCGCCGCCCCGGGCAACGGCAACGGCAACGGCAACGGCAGCAGCAACGGACATCTCGGGTCTCCGCCCAGCAGCAACGGACCCGCCGGCGAGGCCGGATCGGGGGCCTCCGCCTCCGGGTCGGCCCTGGCCAGCGCCTCCGCCTCGGCGGCCGGGGCAGCCTCCGCCAGTCGGTCCTCGCCCGCCGGCGGCGCCGCCAGCCACCATCACGCCGCTCTGGCGGCACATCAGCATGCGGCAGCCGCTGCCGCTGCGGCCCATCACCATGCTGCCGCTGCGGCCGCCGCCCACCATGCCCACCACGCCCATGCCGCCCACCACGGCCACCCCCACCTGCACGCCCACGCCGCCCACCATGCGGAGGCAGCCGCCTTCCTGGGCGCGGCCGGAGGGGCCGGCGGCAACCCCAACAGCCTCCTGGCCGGCCACGGCGCGGACGTCCTGGTGGGCCCCGGCGGCGCCGGGCCCGGCGGCAAGAAGAAGAACAAGCGGCGCCACGGCCGCACGATCTTCACCAGCAGCCAGCTGGAGGAGCTGGAGAAGGCCTTCAAGGAGGCCCACTACCCGGACGTGAGCGCCCGGGAGCTGCTCTCCATGAAGACGGGCCTGGCCGAGGACCGCATACAGGTAAGAGTCGCACTCCCAAATCCCATCATACATACATACATTCAGGCTCTCCGTCCGGTGGTGGGGCAGCTCGCCCTGGAGTCACGTCGCAGTCCTTCGACTGATTGTGGATCCTTTGACTTTAACGGCCTGCTGGCGAGGATTTATAGCGTTGGCGAGAGGGGGGGGCGACTTTTATGGGTGCGCCATCGTAAAGATTGAATGCTTCGATTTGTGGCGGGAGGGGGCTGGGGGCGTGTGCGAGAAGGGGGAGAATGGGACCTGCCACTCGGCAAGTGTTGCCACACTCGGGGGCCGCCGTAATGAGGCCTCCGCTGATTACATAATTACGAGTGCACACAATTGCAATTGCAACAGAAACAGAAGCAGCCACAGAAGCACACAAACGGGGCATGAAGTAAGAAAACGTGGCAAGCGGCACTCGCCGACACTCCAAAAAAAACACGCGAAGAGCCCGAGACGGGGACGAGGACGGGAGGGGACGGGGACGGGACGGGAGGAGAGCACAACAATTGCAAAAATTGCAAATTGGAAGGCGAGACGGAACGGAACGGAACGGAATGGCAACTAAAACAAAGGCGATCAAAAGTCAAAGAGAAACAGCAGCCAAGGAAGAGCCTTGCATCCGTATAACCCACAATTCCATCAAGAAGTGGCACAAAATTGCACTCTCAGAGGTGTGGGATCCTTCATTTTGGAGGAATTTTACTTCTAGGCGAAATAGATCTGCAAAATGGTCTGAAAGGTGCCTTTTACGCCGATCCAATGGATGAAGTGGCTCGAAATTGCACTCTTTGAGAGGCAGGATCCTCCGTTTTGGGGGATTTTTGCATCCAAATGCATCTGCAAAGTGGTCTAAGAGGTAACCTAAGAGGTACCCCGAACCAATCGATGGAAGTCCGAAAAAGCTAGATCCCATCGATTGAAGGTGCTCTTCCTTCGTACAACCGCGGCAGGATCCTCCATTTTGGTGGACGTTTGCTTCTCTTGGGCGACATGGTCTTAAAGGTAACCTCTTACCTTCCATAAATCCCCAAAATGTGGCAAAAATTTTCATTCTTTGAGATGTGGGATCCCATTTTGGAGGAATTTCACTTCTCTTGGGCGAAATGCATCTGCAAAGTGGTCTTCAAAGTAACCTTTCACCTCGATCCAATCGATGGAAGTCCAAAAAAGCTCCATCCTGTCGATTGAAGATGCTCTCCTTGAATATCATTCGTATAATCCGGAATTCCACAAAAAGCGGCACAAAATTTCATATTTTGAGATGCAGGATCCTCCATTTTGGTGGATTTTCTCCAAGAGTGGTCTAAAAGTAACCTTTCACCTCGATCCAATCGATGGAAGTCCAAAAAAGCTCCATCCTGTCGATTGAAGATGCTCTCCTTGAATATCATTCGTATAATCCGGAATTCCACAAAAAGCGGCACAAAATTTCATATTTTGAGATGCAGGATCCTCCATTTTGGTGGATTTTCTCCAAGAGTGGTCTAAAAGTAACCTTTCACCTCGATCCAATCGATGGAAGTCCAAAAAAGCTCCATCCTGTCGATTGAAGATGCTCTCTTCGAATAACTGGCGAATCCAGAAGGTGGAACATTCAGCTAGATCAAAAAACAATCACAGAAAATGATGAATTATTCGGGAATTATTCGAAGAGAAGGGAAATAGAAGTAGCCACACTGGAAGGGGAAATGGAAGCAGAGAAACCCTCAGGGAGACGTAGAACACGGAGTGTTCCAGATGGGTCCCAGGGCTAATCCTCTAAGCCAATAAATAGCGAATTTTTGCCATCGTTCATCTACCATTTTGGTCGTCCTCCCTTGGGGGTTTTGCGTAGCGCACAACTCCCGCTATTTCAATATGCACTTGAGAAGCCGCAAGATGGCGCTTACCCAGGGTGCAGGCCTGGTGCATCTCATGCGCGTGTGTGTGTGCGCGTGTGTGTGTGTTAATGTTCAGAAATCAAATTAACAAACACAATTGGCTGAAAAGTGGAAAGTAAAAGAAGAAGCAGAATCAGAGGCAAAAGCAGAACCAGAAGGCAGTAAAACGCACAAAATAATTCAAAAGCACTCACTCTCACTCACTCACTCACTCACACTCTCTCTCTCCCTCTCCCTCTCCCTCTCTGCATCTCTCTCCAACACACACTTCAATTAAGTGCAAATATGGCGCAGCAGCGCAGCAGCGCAGTCGGCTCACAGCTTGAGTCGGCGAGGGCAATGGGCGGGCAGCGGAGGCAGTGCCGTCGTCGTCGTGGGGTCTCTCTCTTCTGGTGCCGAGGCGAGGCAATCATTAGCAGCACGATAAGAGGCCGAGGACAAAGATGAAGCTCGTCGGCGGCAGAGGCGCAGGCGGAGGCGGAGGCGGAGGAGGGAGTGCCTGTCGTCGGCAGCCATGCAAATTCGTTGAGACAAGAAAACACGGACTCGTGCAAATCGAAGCCACCATTAAAAGTTTTCTCTCGCTCTCTGGCGCTGCCGCTCCCCTCTCTCCGCCCGCTGATTGTTTTCTGCGTGTGTTTTTTTGCCTGCCGTTTTTAATTGCATTCCATTTTGTGTGTGCGAGTGTGTCGTGCATGCTCTCTCTCCCCCCCCCCCCCCCCCCCCCCCCCCCCCCCTCGCTCTTCGGGGCCCCTGCAGCCTGCCCAGCAGCAAACAACAAAAAGAGAAAGAAACATGGCTGGCAAAACATGTTTTCGGCTCGCCGCCTGCCCGCCTGCTCTCTCTCGCAGCAAAGCTTGCTCTCGCCGTTCGGCTGCTCTCCCGAAAATGCTGTGGCCGCTGTCAAAAGTCAACGACCAGGCGACAAAGGCGTCGCTGGCGAAACGTTTCGCATTGAAGTGGCCGCCCCGGCCAATCAGCCTCCAACGGCAGTCCGCGGAATGTTCCGCACCTTCGACACGCGACACACTGGTCGCCTGGGCGAGTGCGACAGGGACAAAGCTAGCAGCTCCGACTCCGACTTGTTGTGGCTGACGGCTCTGCCTAGATAGTGCTCGCAGCCAAATCCGCGAAGATCCCCCTTCAAGGGCATTTGTAATGTCCTTCTCTGAGTCCAATTGAGGACGTGCTCGAAGGCTCTTTGTGCTCTTAAAACAATCGAATTAAGACAATGAAAAGTGCACTGTTTTTTTTGTATTTTCGGTTTTTTTTTTGCCAGTGCATTAAATGCACAATTCCAATTGCACTCCACCGCATGTTCCGATTGCCGATTGTTCCAATTTGCCGAAAAAACCCGTGGCTCAGGAGCTGCCACAAAAGAAACTGCCAAAAGGAAATCGCTGCACTTGCACTTGAGCTGCCAACAGTCGCAAAACACTGCTAGACCCTCGAGCACCATTGAGCAGCATTCCCAAGGCTGGGCCTGGCCCCCACTACCCAACATATAGTAGGGGCTTCAAACAGCTCGTTTCAATTAGTTCCGGCTATCGTACTCTTAGTGGAAATGATCCTTTATCCGCATCCCATCCACGTCAAGTGCTGGCGGAATGGAACTTCATCGAAATTCAAAGTAGTCTTTGAGAGAGAGCCATGGATCTTACTCCTTTTTGCACTTGAAACACAGACCTTATTAGCGGGCACTTACAGTCTCTTTTGCAATCCTCCCTACAAAGGATTTCTCTCCAGACCACTAGAGCGTTTTGATCTCCCTGTAACGAATTTCCCTATATCGAATTGTCCTTGACTACGACTTTTTTCTATGCCCGTAACTCGAGCGTTCTCATGTTTTCTCGATCATAAATCATTATTTTTCCTGTAATTTTCACTGGGGTTTCCCCCCAAAACAAGTCCCGAACTTAAAGGGGGCGATAACAATTTGTATTTATTTATTAAATTAACAATTATCTGCTAATAATGGAAATTGGTTACAAAAGAAGGAAAGGAGCAGAGAAGAGAAGCTAAAAGTTTGTTAAATTTAGGCGATCATAGCTTAGGGATAGCTTAGGGATAGCTTAAGGGATAGTTCAGGGGATAGTTCAGGGCATAAGGTATGACAGGGGGAGTTAGATATGTATGTAGGTTCATGTCGGAATCGATAAACAGAATGCCACCTCCATCTATGCCTTGTGGCGGATGCAGAGCCAGAGGTTGGAATCTCGAAGCCGCTACAGCATTGGGGTACTTGGAGCTAGAGGCAAGTGTGGGATGGTTGAATAAATCAAAAACAATATATTTTGTTTGCTTGCCCAAACATCCCCGAAACATCGTTTGTTTCGAATTATTTTAAAGTAAAACAAACTTCTTTCTACGCATCTTTTTGTTGCTTCCCTTGAGAGTCGCTATAAGGAAGTTCGAGAGAAGAACCCTCAGCGACATTCTGCCTGGTCGGCAGGGAGGCAGACCCTCAAGATTCCCTTTTCGAAGGCTTCCGCGGCGTGTAACAATTTGCTGGCACCATAGTTTATGTTTTTTGGTTTTGCATAATTCTGTTGCTGCATTAATTATACACTTTTGCACTCTCCCTCCCTGGGCTTTCTCCTGCGCTTTTAATGAGCTGTTAACGCGCACACCCACAAAGCAGGTGGACGGAGGGACGGGGAACAAATGGAATTAAAAATGATTATGCATAATTATGTAATTAACATTTAAACAAAAGAGGTTATGGCGGGGAACAAAAGCATTTAAAAAAATTGTTATTTGCATTTTTCGCTCACTCTCCCAGCACAGGAGGGCCTACAAATGTACCCAGTACACCCTGTATACCAAGTACACCCTGTATACCCAGTACACCCTGTATACTCTGTATACCCAGTACACCCTGTATACCCTGTACACCCCTTCCTGCATAAGTAGTAGAGGGTATTCCTCTGCCTGGCTCAGAAAAAGTCATTTATCAACGCATTAGCAACACTGATTGAGTCTACCCATCCACTCTCTAGCACTCTCTCTCTCTCCCTCTCTCGAATAGATAGCACTTGCTGTCGCTGCTGCTGTCTCCCTCTCCCTCCCCCCCCGCGCTCTCTCTCTCTCGCTCCCTGGGGAGGTGGCGGGTGTTAAGTGTTGTCAACTCAAGCAGATTTAATTTGCCATGTTTTTGCTTTGCTTTTTGTTGCTGTTGTTGCAAGTGCAACAATAAACAAGGCAAACAACTGTAAATGCAAATGTTGACATCACACCAAGTGGTGCGGGGGCGGGGGCGGCGGCGGGGTAGGGCTGGGCCCGAGGCCGCGTGGCGCACGAATTTAAAGTGATTTCCACAATTTGATGGCCCCTGGAGAATTGCGGCACATGTTGCAGGAGCGGCAACCCTGGGAAAAGCCCGGCACCAAAATGAAGTTGAACTTTTCACAACAGCAGATTAAGTTGTCCCCCGGGAGGAGGGGAGGAGGGGAGGAGGGGAGGATGGGAGGACAGCAGCCTGTGAAATTGAAAATTGACCGTTTAATGTTGCCGCACACGGGCCTGGGCCACGGCGACGGCTGGCAACATTTTGGCCCGTCTTGTGCCACTAATAAGTACTCGAAATCGGAAGCGCAGGGGCAAGACGGATGCGTGACAAGTGCTGTCTGCCGCGAGCCCATCCTCGAGCCCATCCTCCACCCACTTTTCGGTCTGGCGTTAATTTAATTAGTTTTTGGTCGCTTTGCTGGTCGTGTCGTGTGCCGCCCGCCCTAATCGTGCGCCCTTTGTCCTTGTCCTGACCCCGTCACGATTCGCGCTCTCCCTCTCGCTTGCTTTTGCCACCACTTTTTGTGCAGACTGTACACGGAAGGGATAATCCAAGCCAAGGCCTAGGCCCCAAACGATGCCTGCCAGGATATAGCTTTAGCAGAGATCTTTGCCCCATTCTCCTCGCTGTTCAGTGCTCTCCGAGGGCCTCTCCGAAAGGCATTTTCACACTGGAGCAGCCAGCACTTATTTCTTAACGAATTTCTGCCAAAAATATGTGGAAATCCCATCGGTATTCGGGGGCTCAATTAGCGAGAAGGAGAGAGATGCTCCCTCCACACATGCACTGCGATGCAATCCCTTTGACCCACATCTGGGTCCAGTTCCACTCCATTTCCCCCGACCCAAGGCAGGTTGCGTGCATTTTTAATTGCATATTAAGTTGCATTATCCAGGCCCCCCACAAACCAGAGACTGACCATCCATCCACCCATCCACCCATCCATCCATCCACAGCTGATCCATGCTTTTCCGCTTCTGTTGCAGGTGTGGTACCAGAACCGGCGTGCCAAGTGGCGCAAAACGGAAAAGTGCTGGGGCCACAGCACGAAGATGGCCGAGTACGGGCTGTACGGGGCGATGGTGCGCCACTCGCTGCCGCTGCCGGAGACAATCATCAAGTCGGCGAAGGAGGACGAGTCGGTGGCCCCCTGGCTGCTGGGGATGCACAAGAAGTCGCTGGAGGCCGCCGAGCTGCTGAAGAGCGACGAGAGCGACCGGGAGACGCCCACCTCGGACGACACCAACACCAGCTACTCGGCCGGCAGCACCCACAACTCCCCCATCTCCAGCTTCTCCATCTCGCGGCTCCTCTTCGACGCCCCGCCGCCCGCCGCGGGCAAGCCGAGCAAGCACCATGCCCACGCCCACGCCCAGGCCCAGGCCCAGGCGCACATCGCGGCCGCCAATGCGGCGGCAGCCGCGGCCGCCGCCGCCCACCACCATCACCACCACCACCACCACGGGGGGGAGGCGGCCGCCGCAGCCGCCGCTGCCGCTGCCATGCACGCGGGCATGGCCCAGCAGCACCATGCCCACGCCCACGCCCACGCCCACTCCCACTCCCACTCCCAGCCGGGGGCGCACCACGCGCAGCCAGCCGGAGCGTCGGGCGCGAGCACGGGGGGCCAGCACCAGCACCACCCGTACAACCAGCAGCAGCACCTGCACCACCTGCAGCAGCTGCAGCAGCAGCAGCAGCAGCACCACCAGCAGCAGCAGCAGCATCTGGCCGAGCGGGAGCGCGAAAGGGAGAGGGAGCGAGAGAGGGAACGGGAACGGGAGCGGGAGCGGGAGCGCCAGCAGCAGCAGGCGGTGCAGCACGCGATGCACATGCACCACCACGGCCCCGCCGGCTACGCTGAGGCAGCCGTGGCCGCTGCCGCCGCCGCCGCTGCTGTGGCAGCCGCTGCCAATGCCCGGAACGCGGCCGCCGCAGCCGCTGCCTCCGCGGCCGTGACCGTCGCCGAGTCGGAGGAGGATCCGGACGAGGACGAGGAGATGGACAAGGACTGCGACCCGGAGATCGACGGCGACATGGAGGTCGCGGCCGACGCGGACGGAGACGCCGACGGCGACGGCGACGGCGACGGCGATGCCGACGGGGAGATCGACATCTGCGACGACCACGACGACGAGGTGCACATGCACGAGCAGCTCCTGCTGAAGGTCAAGCAGGAGCAGGCCGCGGGCGGCTCCTCCAGATGAAACATGTACATCGATGTGTTGTTCTAATTCAGCAGACAACCGGCAACGAAGCGCAACGGGAACGCCCCGGAGAGACGCCTCCGGGCGTGGCAATGAACCCTTTTCTAAGCATAATCTAATGACATTATTCATAAACGTAAACGTAAACGTAAACGCAAACCTTAAAACGGAACAAAACATTTTTTTTCATAGACCTAAGAAGCACCCAAGCATAAATTCGCGTAAATCGTATCCTACGGATCGCACGGATCGCACGGATCGCACGGATCGCACGGATCGTATACACCTAGATACTATAGTACCATATTCAATGGAGTTTGTTTGCCCTTTTTTTTGTCTAGAGATTGTAAATATCTAAGAGGTGGAACCCGTTCGGAGCTACGATTTGCAAAAATTTCTAAAATACGCTAAATGTGATTTAATTTAGTTATCGATTCTGAACAAGGCTTTTTATCGTTTAAGATCATTTTTTTTCCTCGAAAATTAAGTTTTAAAAATCCCATATTTTTTTTTTTTTTTGTGTCGCATCCTTCCTGTAAAAATTGTACATACAAGCAAGGTCCCACTTCAAATGGGAGATGCGAGTCCTTAGGCCCTGCTCCGCATTCATCGTATCGTTTGCATCAAAGACCTATCGAATACATGGAGGACGCATCTGTTCTATAAAAGGATCAGCGAACATTCTGTACATACGAGTCCCATTCGAGCGTTGAGCCCCCACCGCCACTCCCGCTTGAGACCCCCCTCCTTATGCTCTTACTTTATCCTTTGCATACTCGTAATTCAAACATTGTACTGGGCCCTTTGGGAGGCCCGAAGCAACCACAAGAACCACATAAGTAAACTCCAAATTGTGTAATTATTGAGCAAGACAAAGCAAATACACAAATACAATATATACTTACGAATATATGAAAGTTAGATGAAATAAAATGGATGATATGAAAAATATTCGATTGCGTTTTTGTTGGGTCTACAGCTACGGATTCAGTCGGTTATGGAAATCTACTTAGAATTATTGCTAAAGCCTTTCGCAGGAGAATAAATTCTTCGTTATTAAAACAACTGGTTTTATATCTAAAAAATATTCAAACATGTTTTTGGGTTCTGTCCCCGCACAAAACTAGAGTTTCGTGGCACGAAAAAAGACACGGGCCTTGTCCATCTCTACTCTACATAACAATCGCCAGAGGCGCCGCCTAGCGGTACTATTTCGATGAGTTCCACAAGCTCAAGTATCTCCTAGTGTCCGAGTAGAGGCGCCACTGCATCAATTTTACATGACTTTCTTTTTTACATGCATTTCATATAACAGTTTTACAAATGTAAAATAAATGTACACACGACACGAAAACGACTGCCAGATGGCGCTAGTGTCATTTTCCGGCCGATCTATGTGTTATATTATATAATTATAGTTATAATAATATAATTAAAAAAATTCATAAAAAAAAAGAAAACAAAAATAAAAATAGTTTATAATTTTTGTCCATCCTCGGTGGGAATCGAACCTGTGCCATTCCGGCTCCCTCCGAACTACCGCGAGCTGTTTGCCATAGCAGAACGAGGTCGGCGTGGCATAGCTCGCTGAGGTGCTGGCATGCACCGCATAGAATGGGGATTTAGTTGTGTGTAGAAGAGTTCGAGGCCCCGGCTTGGTGGAGCCAAGCTTGTGTGTTGTTTTTCTCTCTTTCTGTTCCGTATACCCCTGCACTCGCCACGCGTCACCTGTCATTCTCACGACATTTAGGCGTGCCAAAGTACAGTAAAGGGGAGAATAAAATGCCTCCAAAGGAAGCTGAGCAGTCGTCGAATCTAATTTCAAGACTCTCGGTGTCAATTGTAAAGAGGCACATTTTCACTTTTTATTTTTTTATATTTTAATTGGTAATATTTTTGAGTATTTTCTGGTGGGTTCATTGATCTCCTTCCTGATTTCAGCACGAAAATAGTGCATAAAAGTCGGAAAAGGCTAGGTATAAATCTTTAAAAAATCAGTAAAGATGATATGCTTATTATGCAATTCAGATGATTTCTTTCAGTTCTTGTAATTCCTGGCCTTAAGAGCTCTGTTCCTGAGCCCATAGCTACCCCATAGAGTATCTAAAGGCTGTGTGCCCCAGACAACCCAGATAATAGGAATAAACATGGGAAACGTTTGGAGAGTTTTTGGTGAACTGCCAGCTACCCAAAGGATGCCCAAAGGGAGTGCCTCCTGCTGCAAAGGATCCATTTAGAATTCCGTTAGAGCCATGCCCCTGGCTGCGTAAAACGAAATTTCGGTTGGGAAAAATTTACATAAATTGCTGGGCGAAAATCGCAAAAATGGAGGCAGACCGCAAGGCCGTAGCCAACGGAGGAACAAAAGGATGAGGACAAGGCAACGGCAACGGCAACGGCAACGGCATTTGCCAAAAAAAATCTGCTGTGAATGTATTGCAAAACAATAAGCAAAACAATAAATCAAAATATGAAATAATAATGGCTTCGGCCTCGCTGGATGATACACGAGTCGAGGTCGATGTCGATGTCGATGTCGAGGTCGAGGTCCCTCCAAGGAACAGCTGTAAGTCGGCAGAGCGGGCGCCGATTGTGCAGCGAAGGAAGAACGAAGGATGAAACCCGAGCAGGAGCGCCGTGTCGCGTCTTGCGGCCGCCTCCTGTGCGCGCTCACATTTTGGCAAGCTCTCACTCTCTCACTCTCTCACTCTCTCGCTCACTCTCGCTCTCCCCTGTGCCCCTCCCTCCGCGCGCTGAAATATAAATCTTAATATGTCATAATTCGAAATAATTTCCCAAAACCGCAAGAGCAAGTAGTTCGCCCCGAGGGGCCGAGAGGACCCACAGCAGGACCCGCTGGGCCAACGGAAACTGAACTCTACCTCTGCCGCGACTCTGCCGCGACTCAGCCGCGACTCTGCCGCGACTCTGGGGGTAGCTCTAGGTGCGAGTCCGAGGCCGAGGCCGAGTCCAAGTCCAGCTCCTAATCCCACAAATTATTACCCTAATAGCCGATATTGTCGCGGCTTAGCGACATCGTTTATCATCTCTGGCCCTGGGCTTCGGGGCTTCGGGGCTTCGGTGGCACGGGAGCGTGCGCGCCTTGTGGAAAAATATGGAAAAGCAAACAACAGATGACAAAATATGAAAGCGCGTTTTCCTCTATTTGTTTAATTTATTAAAAAACGAAAAAAAAAACAGACAGCGGCACACGGAATGGAAAATGGTAAACAGAGAGCTCTCTGTTCTGTTTCTGTTTCATTGTTTGCCATTCGGGAAAGTCAGCTGCAGATGCAGATGCAGATGCAGTTGCAGATGCGAGCGTGTCCCCTTTGACCCCAAGCACGCGCTCACAATGCGGTCATCCTTGCGGCCAGCAGGTCCAGCGGCAGCTTAGTGGTGGTGGTGGTGGTGGTGGTGGTGCTGCTGCTGCTGCTGCTGCTGCTCCTGTGACGTTGTTTGCTTAGGTCTGCCAACAATCCACCAAACAGATACAGCAGCAACAACAAATAGAACACCAAACTTAACGGACTTTGGCCGCGGCAGAGAGGCGATCGCCAGAGATGGCGATGTGTGGCGTGTGTCCCCACCGATCCATCGGCCGACTGTCGTATTAGGGCTTCGATTTGAATCACAAAAGCCGAAAGCCAATTCCCAACTAATTCACAATTCAAATTCATATTTAAATTCATATTCATATTCCATAATTATAAAGCCAACCCCTCTGGCAGTGGCAGTGGCAGTGGCAGTGGCAGTGGCAGCGACTGTGGCAGGGGGGCGCACACGCATCGGGGCGGTGAGATTTGGATTATAATTTGATATTTTGTTGGGCAAAGTATTAGCATTTAAATTGCCTCATTAGCAGAGGCTTTCCGAGTGCAATGTTCTTTTTTTTCCAGCGAGAAACTGGAGTGCCCCTGCCCCTGCCCCTGCTCCTGATCCTGCTCCTGCTCCTGCCCCCGATTCTGATTGAGATTCCGATGCCGATTCCCGCAAAGCTCTATATAATTTGATTAATCAAAACAAAAAACAGCAACACGCAAAGGGGGGCCGAGTCCCGGATCCTGGCACCGATCTCGATACCGATTCTCAAGCCAATCCACGCCCATTGCCATGGTCGTGTCGATAATTTAGAAATTAAATGTAGCTCGCAGCAGCATGAACCGAAAAGGGAATAGGTCCTGGAATGGGATCCGGAAATGGGCATCGGTGTGGCAAGGAGTGGGAATGGCTATGGCGATGGCGATGGCGATGGCGATGGCGATGGCGAAAGTGAAATGCCACAAATACACAAATCAAATCTAATCAAGCAAAGAAAGCAGCGCCAGAGCGAAAGACTTTCCCAAGGGGCAGGCCGCGGCAAGAGGCAAGGGGTAGCTGTGCCGCAGCCACAACGGGGGTAGGGGCATGCTCACCCCTCGGCGCTAAAAGAAAAAAAAAAAAAAAAAACACACACCAAGGTCCTGGTCTAGTTTTCTTTTTTCCCATTTTTTATTCTTCTGTTGTTGCAACTGCAATTACATTACATTTTTTGGGATTTCGATTTCGTTTCGTTTTCTTTCGGACCGAAGACCGAGCCGGGGACTCACGCCACGGCCAGGCCGTGGTATGGTATGGGGTGTCCTTTTGCCATGGGTGTCAAGGATTTGTCCGTTTCCTTATTATAGTGATTTCTGTGTTGTGTTCTGTTGTTGTTGTTGACTGGCTGGCAGGCCTTGTAATTATTTAGTTTACGTTTTTTTCTTCTCTCTTCCATTCCTTGCCTTTCCTTTAATTTCCTGCCTTCCTCCCGACCCGACGAGTATTATTTTTGTTTTCTTGCCGCACTTTTTGTTCTCTGATTGAATTGCAGGAATCGCAGGAATCGCAGGAATCGGACCCAGTGGCTTGGAAACTTTCAATTTCATGCTTAGATTTTATTCCCATTTTTGTTGTGAAATTACAAGAACAATGCTTGGAAGTGTACATAAGCCTATATATAGTACAATACTATATGGTATATAGTAGAGCTCCCCATAAAATGCCCCATTTCCAAGCCAACAATCATCGAGGATACATATACGATAGGGGGCGGGGCCATATAACAGGAGTCTGGGCAGCACCAGCTCTAGACGGACAGAGAGACGTGGCTCTATCGACTCGACTATTCGTGGTCGGAAACGCTTCATCCTGCATTCCTTCCACACCCTTTTTCAGTATCGGGTACAAAAATCAAGTGCATATTCCCTTAAAATCATTAAATAAAATTACAATTTCTCTCTCACTTACCAATAATCTTGTTCCGTTGCGTTTTCCGAGCTTGCATATTAGGCATTCGTTTATTAATTTAAGGTGAGGCACAAGAGGGCGGAAGTTCGTGTCAGATCAGCAGCATTGGGAGTGCCTCACCCCTTCATGAACGTCACTTGGAACGAGAGCACTCATTCCTTCTTGATTCTCTTCGCACTGCATCCCACTACTACTCGCGTGTAGTGGGAGGGGGAAAGGGACAAGACTTGACACACACACGCACACACACATTGCTGGAA